GCATTTGACAAAAAAGTAATTTTGTGTGACGATCATCACATGACCGGAAAAATTTTGTGGGTGCTGCAGGGGAAGTCGTCCCTTAACTCGTACATCTAACATGTGATATATTTTGAAGATCTATCTTTATTAAAAACAGTTAATAAAACTAGATAAGTTTATTTTTTATTTTTTAGTTTTATGCGGTATATAAGTATATAGCACCCTGGATGCTAGATTTAAATATTATGCAGGGATGCGGGATCTAGATTTATCCAAAAATAAATATTAATAATTAAAAAATCAGATAATAAATATGTGCGACAATAATTAACTAAAAAATAAATATTAAGGCTAAAGATATAAAAGTTTTTGGCAACTAGTGTTCTATTAGACATCAATTAATAAATAAAAACGTTTTGAAACTTTAACAAAATTAAATTTTGAAACTTTAACAAAATTAAATTTTGAAAAAAGAGTTTAGTTCCAAGATATTAATTCTTGAATGATAGTGGAATTTAATTCATGTGAATATGTTGTATTAATTGTCGTTATTTGATATGCTGTTATACCAACTATGGTTCCTAAAATATTATTTTGCGGATTATAGTTCATTATCCAAGGACCTCCACTTGTACCGTGTCCAAGAAGTGCATCAACATTCCATTCCAGTCCATCTTCAGTTGCATCACCCATCCATTTGCAAAGAGTCCTCCCGTCTTTAACACAATCCATATCACCATCAGACGGATATCCAAATGTAACTATTGGCACCGGATCTTTTGGAGTTGTACCTCAGTCAAAGGCTCCTGTTGAATCTTGTAATTTACCCTGAAAATCTAATCTAAAAGCAGCATAATCATCATACTCTCCAGCTGAGATTATATACATAATTGGAATAGCAATCTTATTAACGGGAATTCAACCAATCTCTGAGGCACCATTGTTATATCCCAAAAAAAACTACACTTGAAGAATGGCTACCACGATTTGTAAGGCAATGTGCTGCAGTCATTCCACTGTTTCTCTCATCAGTAGCAATTAAACTAGCGGTACAAATAGAATCTTGGCCATTATTCTTCATAAATAATGCTCCAACTGCACGAGGATTGTCATCTTCTGCAATAATAACATCATTAATATTTACTAAATCAGTACCTTTTTTGGTATTTTTTATATCCTTATTTTTAAATCTAGGTGGGCTATTTCGTAGGTGTAAAGGTTTAGCATTTAGCATTCTTTCTTGTGTCCAATAGTTAATTGCATTTTCAGTATCTTCGATAGAAAAAGTTTTTCTAATGACAAGTCGTGTAAATGCATTTTCTATAATTATCAATATAATCAATATATACGAAATATATTTCTTGTTCATATTTAAAGATAATATTTTTAATAATATTTCTATTTATTTTTATAAAATTGGTTTGTTTTAAGTTTGATTAAAGCGATGCTTGTTCTTTCTTTTATACATTCTAAAAAGTCATAAATTTATTCAGGTTAAATAATTAATTCTATGAACTATAAAACTTACAAAACGATATCGATTAACTTCCCAATGGTCATTCCCTGACAAGGCAACTAACCTACATCACACAAGGCAATTTAGCTTTTATTAGTTGTAATTATATTTTGTTAATGAATTATCACACAGTATTATGTCTTTTAAATGGCCTGTTGGGGTAATGACCATTGGGAGATTATTCATAACCTATAGAACTTGCAATACGTTGCGATGAATATATATTTGCATTTAAAGATTTAAACTGTCTGAGAACTTTTTTCGCAGCTCATATGTTCAACCATTTGGTTGTCACTCGACCCTATAAAGAAGGATTGGATAAAATTTGAATGATATTTGTGTTAGATGAGCAAAAAATGGATCTACCACAAAATCCCGACATCCAAAATCCCGACAGCACAAATCGGCAAGATAAAATCCCGTAGGATAAAAAACATCCCTATAAAATCCCGACAAAATTCTGCCAGTTCAAAATCCCAAATATGGCAACTAATAATTGAGATAAATTGAAAATGATGCGAAACATGCATAGATTTGAATATACGCGTAAGTTTAAATGCTTCATAATAATTTCTTTATTAATCGTATATTTATACAAATATCTGTTGAAAACACCAGATCAATTTCATAATATATATAGTCGATTATCTCGGGTTTGGGTCAAAATCCCGACAAGCGAAATCCCGACAGGTCATAATCCCGTCAGCAAAAATCCCGACATCCTGACAATTAAAAACTTGATAAAAAAAATATCATAAACCATAGCTAACCCGAGCCTAACCCTCATCTAAAGTGACCTAACCCTAAAGTTAAT